AGTCCACCTACATGCTGTATTTACGCACCAATTTATCAACTCCCGCCTCCAATGCGCAGCTACCTACCCCACCTTCCCAAATCACTGGTGAACGAAATTGTCGCAGCTAGAACCACTGTACAACAAGTACGCGGTTATTACAGCTGACAACGATGATGATGATGACTAAATCAGCAGTCGCTCCCAATACAAGATCATCACCAATGAGAGCACCGGCGGTGGCACATACTGGTATCAATCTGCTACAAGGTCAAAGAACGTCACAGCAAGGGATGAAAAGATAGGAAGACTGGGGATTTGGTGCGGAAAAGCTTTAGGAAGCATGGTAAACCGGCTGGACAGACTAGAGTTTGGACAGCTACGAAATATACACATCGATCACTGGGATCAACCCAGTCCATCCTACAGGCCTTACCTAACGCAAACCTGGCATATAACGTCAGACAGACTTGAGCGAAACAGTCCGGTTGGCATGTTCACCACGTTCAAGAAAAGTCACGCGGACCTTAGCCAGGAAGGCACGAAGAACACACAGCACTCAGTTTAACTGCAGTTGTTATCGCTTAGCTTTAACATACCGTTATTTGTCGGGGGAGGATTTTTCCTAGTAAAGATTTAGGATAAAATTGATCTTAGTGGAGTTTGACATGTTTACGTGCCTCAGCGCCCTTGACCGGATAAGGTTTATAAGCTGCCATAGGTATCCCGTCTCGTACATCACTAAGTAATCGCGTATTCACGGTTCGCTGAGGATCTTCTGGAGCTGGCTAACTACTGCTAGGCCGCAAAAACGCTGGTCATCTGTAAATACCTGATAGGGTTTACAGCCAAGCGACACAGCCACAGCTGTTATACGAATGCCAAAATCGAACAAAGGAGACTGAGAGCAGACAAGCAGAACCTCAATCGTCGCAGTGTTGGAACAGGGAGCATGAGAGTACATTTACAACCGACAAACAAATCGCCCTTTGTCCAAGATTTACAAAAGAGCTACTTTATCCACAGAGTTAAAGGTCTTCGTGAAGTCGAAGGTGCCGCTGAAGCATCTGGCATAATGTAAAGACGCACATATTGCATCTCTTACCACCTCAAAATACTGCTTGGAACTCTTGGGTATGTGTTTGGACAAGTATTGGGGCACCTGGTGATCGCGTAAGGTTGGAAGTTGCCGGAGGTACCGTTTTGAAACGAAATTGCGATGCCTGAATGCTCCGAATACTCCAAATCACGGTCGTTTTCAAATGGATGGGTCAAAGCAATACACATTTATCATTCTCTGAACACCTAGCAAGGAAAGGCCCAGAGGCGTTCTAGAGCAGAAGGCAATATTAGCACTTCACAAAATCAAGGAAGACCCAAAGGCCCGCAACCATAGTCCCAGATGGACTAGACTAACGAAAGACAAGTGAAAGGACAGAGGACAGTTCAAGTGTTCTTTGGAGATACATTGCTAAGCGATGCAAGTTCTGATTTTTGTCGTTGTAAGCCTTGATCTGTGGATTTCATCTGTCGCCGACTGCACCAGTTTTCCCCACTTAAACTTCTTGGCTCGATCACACTCCTCTTCGTACACACGTTTCATTTGACCTGAAGTTTAACTGTATTATACTCTGTTCCCGAAGCGATAGTGTCACGCAGTAACATTGAACGTTCCTAGATCTATGCTGAAAAGCCAGAAAGCATTGTACAACTGTTTCATCCTTAATGGGAACCAGCAGCAGGGAGCGTCGAACCAGACTCCAGAGAGTTTCGGACCCGTGAACTTCCATCGAACAGGCAAACCACTTAAAGGCGAGCGGCTGGTGAGCAACGTGATTACGTCCCACGTATATAGCGCGTCACACATTCTTCAATCATGCAATTCACACACATCCGGTGAAGAGCCCTCAAAAGGAGGCTTCATTCGTCTTCATCAGAATCCACATCACTGGGAAGACGAGGGTTTGAAATCCCTTGGGCTTTCATGAGATGCGCAATGCTGATGATTCCTAATAAGGATGAAACAGCTGTACAATGCTTCCCAGCATAGATAAGCTTCAATTACAAGAAGAAATTTCAAATCTCCACAAAATACCGGCGCTCTCAGATCAGCCATTTTTCGTGTACGCTCTCAGAAAGACCACATGCCGCTTTGTGCAAAGCTTCCCGGTTCTGATAAATGTCCTCCTCCGATGTGGCTCGTAAAACATTGCTGCGTTCGTTAACTCGTAGTTCACAAGATTTTTCTACTGATAAAACAGCTGAGTCTTGTGAATGGATAATGATAGCTGTGTGATCGATTTGGCTCACCGTTGGAACACCCAAGAGCGCAACAGAGCTGGTAGATAGTTTTGAGACGTTCAAACTGAACATACCAAGACATACTTCTAGCGAACTGAGGCATCTTACCTGTATGTTGAGGTCTCCAGCCATTACGAAACTTTATGGTGAACAGCAGCGAGATGGTTAGAACGCGAATTTACTGACCAGAAGGTCGGTGGTTCGAACGCGACCTATGCCTCTTGACTTCCCCTGTCTAGGCTTGGGCAACCTGGCAGCATCCCAGTCGTTGTGCAACCTTCGGGTGACACAGCGGGTAGGCACCGAAAGGGTGCTACAGCTATGCGTCTAACAGAAATGTTCCCGTTGATCGGAGCAAAGGTGCTGCATAAGTAGACATGTATGAGGAGCGGTTCTTATTCCGACCAGGGGAGTCCCTAGGGAGATGGACTGTCTGGAAGCACAAGGTTTAACACTTATGCGTAACCAAACAAATTTCGAGGCCCCAGCTCAAAAGCCAGGGTTATACCGAAACCGGCGTGATCTGCTACAGAGCCAACAGCATGCAGGTAGTGTGGTGGCGTAAGCTTAAACACTAAACTAGTATTAAAATGCAGTAAATACCCTTCGGTGAAGTGACAAGAGTGCGGGCGATGCGTCCGTCGGCCAATCTGCTTAAAAGTCCGCACGCTAAGGGCTTTGATACAAGTGGAAGAACGAGACCGGAAAAGCGGATGCGAAGAATTGAGTATGAGCGTCCAATAGGTCACTCCCCTGAGTGCTCGCCCCACTTTTTCACAGTCAAGATGCATATAGGACCGGAGCACAAGTGGAATTCAAAAAACACATACTTTCGCTTCGCTATATAGAGCGAATAATTTTCTATAGAGGAGAATGTCGGTAGCTCAGTGTCACAACCGGTAGATGTGACTGCGTATTGCAGATACTACCAGGGGACATAAATCTAAGCAGGAGGATGATCTGGCGGAGTATCTGGTTCAAAAGTTTGACTGCAAGACAGCAATGGCTGGCATGAGACTATCAGAATAGTTCAACTTTTGCAGAACAACCTTTCTCACTTGAAACAATATCAGACCTATCGAACTAGGAAACTACCATGCCTACATCCACTGACCAACCTGGTACAAGACAGTGAATGATGCATGGATGTTCGACAATACAGCTCAGTGCGTTGCCGAGCTATAAGAACGACCGCCTTGTCTGCATAGTCCCCGCACTCAAAATCGAATCGGCCAATTATTCAACGCTCTTAACTCGCCCGGTGTTGTTCGCCTACTTTCCGTTCTACTAAAGTAATGGATCCGTTCCATGGTTTCATATGACCAGACAATTCGTGAACAATGCCATACATCATTACCGACGCATGTATACAACTCGATCTTGAAGTGCAGCTAACTGTATTCACCACAACTACTCCACTTCCACCAAACAAACAAATCCAAGATTAAAATTTCATTTACCTTTCCATTCAGTGGTCCCATACACGCCCAGTGTACGATTCGTCAAAATCCGACATCAAGTTTCAAATATGGAACTATCCATTTAGCCACCGAAACGATAATTTCTCGGTTAACTGAGAACCAATCGATTCTAATTTGGCCGCCTGTTTTAACGTTTAATGCTTGTCAGTTAGGCATCGCCCTTATTCTTTAGACTGAGTCTCACCAAGTTACAAACATGGTATGTACTCTTTCTACCTAAACCATTTGTTCGCCATCGGGTTGAATGGACCTTCCTTCTTCTGGGGTCAAAAACAGAGACATGGATCAATGGAAGATGGGTTTATTGGTCTCCATTGGCAACGGATAAGAGTAGGTAAAACGATTCTGTTGGTATTTTCTAGCGAGAGAAACGTAACAGCCAGCGATGCCTCAAACTTCCTGTCTCTCTTGAAGATCAGACACCGTCTAGATGGTTAGATTACACACACTACTACAAATAGGTGACGATTTTCATAAAGGAAACTACTCAAGGTTGCTGAAAAATCTTCGACAGCCTCGCCCTTCTTGGGGCTCATCAGGTAGGCGCAGTCCGAGTTTCCGTCAACCTTATGTTCTACTTGAACCCAAATTAGATAACGATTTCTTTTGTAATACGAACCTCAGATAGGCTTCGCATGATAGTAGCGGAAAATAGGCCGTTTGAATGTTGTTCGAATCATGATCACTTCCATAACTGGACCAAAGATGTAGATAACCTACGGAGATTATAGCGATTCCATCGGAAGTTTACCCAGGAAGACTATTAAAAACAGTCCTTTTTGCATTCATCAGCCACATACCACTACAATACACTCAGCGACAGTGGATATGGTAGTGGTCTTACTTTATCAACACCCGCTTACAAACAACGAAGAGAATGCCCAACGGAGTGATGGTACTAAGCAGTACAAGTTAGATGAACTGGGTTATAGGACATGCACCTCACCGAAACAGCTAGAAACCAAAACCCCAGGTGTTTATGGCATGCAAGAGTAGCTATTCACCAAACGAAAAAACGGATCAGCCAATCGGTTAGGATGATTTGTTAAGCCCATATTAGCTGGCATGATACCGGCGTGACGAACCCAAATAGCATGCAGTGTGGAACAAAACACCAACAGAATCAACAATAACAACAGAGAGATGGGGTGACTGAGAAACCATGCGATTGTATTGCATAATTGGAAACGTGAACAAGGCAACGAAGAACGTTGAGTTAATGACTTTATTGCTGTTTACCGGTTTCTTGTTGTTCGAATATCGGGTACTTTGATTGCGCTTCGGACCATACGAGGACACCGTTGGAAAGGTCGTTCACTAGCGAGGGCAGCTCAGAGAGCTAAACGGATACAGACGACAAAAGAGTCGATCACAGGAAGATGATGAGTGCAATACCACGACTAAAATAACATGAACGTAGACGGTTCAACAACGAATGAAGACGTTTTCGTAATAATTAGAGTTGCGGAGAAAATTTAGGGTGTAGTTTTTCGGGACACCGTCTGCTCAAATGCAGACGGTAGGCGAGATGGTGGTCTGGATGCGAGACGACTGAATACCGGATTGCGGTGAGTGGCACTAACGTGGGTGTGGTAACAAGACTAAGCGACAAGATATTATTCGATCGGCTAGAAAACATTATGCGCCAAAGTGAATCCAATCAAGACACGCCGTAGGTCTATAAGTATCTGGCACACCTTATTTCAAGCTTTACTGTTGAAGCCTGTGAGTCTTTACAGAAACTGTAGGGTTCGTTGGTGGAGACAAGTGTATAAAATTGACCGGCCGGGTTTATTCCATCATGGGAAACTTGAGCAGTTAAGCCATGGGGTGTATACTGGATCAGCTTGAATAAGCCCTACTGCACCAGCGTAGGTCTGTCACTATGGTGTTGACAAAAGCAGACTCGACTACGCATGGGAAACGGAACGGATGTATACTAGTAAGTCAGCTAAACACAGAGAAATCGCAAAAACTCGAGGGAAACTGATGATACTACGTTGTTTTACATATTCCAAAAACCTTAGATACCGTGCTTGAGTAAGGACCACGAGCCGTTCTTCAACACTTAATAATGTTTATACATTCTGAAAAAAGCCCATTGACGTGGACCGCAACAAGCGTGGCATCAGAGATATGGCACAAACCGGGAAAGGGAACACAATCCACGAAGGCACATAAACATACGCGTATCGGGAAAAACCGACTTACGGGAACACGGATCTGCTTCATGAGAACACAATCCACCAGGGCACACAAACGTATGTGTATCGGAAAAAACGACTTACGGGAACACGGATCTGCTTCATGCTGTCACGCTCCCGCAAGGTGGCTGATGCGGGAGATTTATTGATGGTGTCAAAATCTATCGTGATACCGTACGGGATTGCAATCTGGTCCGTTCGGGCATAACGTCGTCCAATCGAACCACTACTATCATCTATCCGATGAGTCACACCAAGGCGTGTCAGAGAACTTGCTATAAGAAGAAAATAATGAACAGTTGGAGAAAGCTGTATCAGAAACGTTTTGGATATGGGGAGTGAGAAGACGTGCTTGTTTACGAGGAAAGCTACTGTAGAAATCTGTGAGACGAATTCAAAAAGAGCAGGCTGTTTATCGGATGGCAGTTGATGTGTGCACCAAGATTGGGAATTGATTTTTGTAAACGTTCCGTCACCACAACAGGGAACATCATGATAACGCAGTTGGGTTGGACACGCGCACTGACCAGTTTCTCCCGCTTGGAAGCGAAACGTCTGCAAACCAATTGCCAAGCTCGGCGAACAGATCAACTAACATCCGATCAGCGGTCGAGATAGCAATACTTAGAAATACTATCGAAAAAATTGTCAATTAGTGCCGGCCGCTAGCAAAAAAGCGATGTGCGTTGAATAAACTTACACAGCTGTTGGATAAACGGAGCAAAGTCCGGATGACTTGACAAAGGGAGCAAGGAACATTTGTATGGCGCCAGAATCGGTCGGACAGCGAGATACTGAAAAAAAACAATGAGGTAGACATTAGGGCAACACATTCTAGTGCACGGAACTGAGAGGATACACTGGAAGAACTAAGCTCAAGGGTTGACTAAAAGACTGCCGTGTTATGATTTCTCGAGCCCCTGGAAAGGATTACGAACCCTATTGTGTCATAAAGCAAAAAAATGACACCAAACCACAGATTAGTGATTCATGGGCAACAGTGAATTCAGCTGCCCAACAGAATCTGAAAGGTCCCTGCGACAAAAAACTTGGCGTTTCGCTCCAATAGTGAACCCCGAATTAGACGTAGTAAGTTCTCCGGCATAAAATACTGGTCGACAAACAGTAATGAAGCGCATGTGAGTAGGTAACTGACAACTCTTGGCAAAACATGCCGACTTCTCTGCGAAAAACTTCCTGTGACTCGGGTGATGGTCCCTTTACGTACGCAGATGGACAGTAACTGATCGGCTGGAGACCCCATGTGGGTAGTATGAATAAGCAAACTGAATGCGCTATAATATGAGCCTTTTCCACTGGCCCGACAAAAACACGACACAGGATGCCATGGCAGACATAGACAAACAACCTAACCCCCAGTGACTGAAGTACCGATGAAAAAAATCGTTCAGCTGTAGCATCCTATCGACGCCTAGCTGTCATACCACCCGAAGGTTGCACGAGGGCTGGGATACTGCCAGGTTGCCCAAGCCCAGACAGGGGAAGTCGAGAGGCAGAGGACGGGTTCGAAACACGGACCTTCCGGTCAGTAACCACTTGAGTCATCTCGCCGACAAACAGCTTATTCGACGACTACACAAAATGTACAATAAATACGCCATAAATGTGCATCCGTCAGGGCACCAATGGGTCAGATGGAAGCAAAAAAACTTACCGTACGCTGTTCATCACCTTCGCGTACGCGGAAAGAATGCTCGAATACGGTGTACAAAAGCCGACCAATCCCGAATGAGGGTTCAATAACATTTGGTACGATTTCTTCCACTTTTCAAAGTACGAGAAAACAATGGATCAGTGGGTTGGACATGTCAAACGAATTGTTGCTTGTCAGATAGGGGCGGAAAAGCCTACAGTAATGCGAGTGATCAGTGGGGAAGAGTAGGAATATGATCCCGTATTACGGGGATTTCTAACCAACAATGTCGTCCCAGCTGTGTGAGTGACGTCACAATGTACGTCTTCCAGTAGAAATTAAAAAAAAGAAGGCGTGCAGCTGTAGCATCCTTTCGGTGCCTAGCTGCCATGCTACACGAAGGAAGCACGGGGGCTAGGATACTGTCAGGTTGCCCAAACCTAGACAGGGGAAGTCGAGAGGCGGAAGTCGGATTCGAGCCACAGACCTTACGGTCAGTAAATTCCTGCTCTAACCAATTGGGCCGTCTCTCGAATGATTCATCTAACAGGCTGGTCAAGACATCACTCATTTCTCATTCGCTGGCTGCTGATTGTTCTTTAACAGGCAACTGAACATCGTTAATTACACACTCTGGGAGGCTGTTCCAATCCAGGTTTTTGCCCGACAGAGCAGCCTTCACATTACAGATGGATTTAATTGCGCTAAATACAAAGTACGTTGGACATGATCCGAGATATCTTATCAGTCATGTAACTTGTGCTAAAAATTTGATGACTATACTAAGGAGCATGTGAAATGGGAGGGAAATGAAATTCGGCTACAACCATTAGGTGTGAGCCGAATATGAGCGGTGAATTCGGAGTACGGAAAACGTACTCCGTTGGTTCAGAAAGAGATCGAAATAAAAAAAGTTGTTCAGCTGTAGCATCCTTTCGGTGCCTAGCTGCCATGCTATGCGAAGGAAGCATGAGGACTGGGATACTGCCAGGTTCCCCAAGCTTAGACAGGAGAAGTCGAGAGGCGGAGGTCGGGTTCAAGGCACGGACCATTCGGTCAGTAAATTCGCGCTCTAACCAATGAGCCTTCTCATCCAGAATAACTCTTAGGGGGTGCAGTCCTTTCATTAAATGAAATCCTTCGAAAGGGAATAATAAGCCAAAAATTTGATATCTTAATGGTGAAATGCGGTGTTTCATGATGATCGGTATGAATTTTTAGACATGGGAGCCCTCAAGCGAAACGTGGGTGATGATTACTGTTATTTGATAAAGGAAACTGCAAGAACAATTGAAATATTGAGGTCGACTGAGAGATGAGTGAATTCACGATGTATATAAATCACCCACCTTGAACGTTTGTTTCGTACTCCTTTATATGAACCATACAAGGTTCGATTGTGTATTCCTTGTCACCAATCACAAGCTGCGAGGAGCTACAGTGGCAGCAAACGAGAATGCAGAGAACATACAAAATTAAAAGTGGAAACTTGACTCGTCATGGGGAACTGCAGCCAGTGTGAACGAGCAACAGTAACGCGGAAATTTCAATCTAGCGAACTGAAATCTTTTGAAGTAAAACTTAAAAGCCTCCTTAATACAACGTACATTTTATTACAGCAGCCCGAATTGGAGTGAAGTGACGATTTCCGTCGGAAACGATCCTGACACAACGCCGTTACAGGCTATCGTTTGCACCATCTGTTGTAAGCCACTCGGATATAAAGGAGCATCATAAAATCGGACCCATCGACGCACGGTAAGACCAGGTACAAAGGAATCAACACCTTGTGAATGTGGCATTCTTTTTGACCCCCGAATGACGCCGAACTGTCATTTGAGGTTTATGTACGTAAGTTACGATTCACTTGTGATTACGAACGGCAATCAGCGTAATGTTTGCAGCTACCTAAATAGGTGAAATTTTCGGAGGCTTACTAAAACTGATTATTATGAATATGCGGCAAAGGAGAGCTGAATGATATCGATCCAGATTCTGAGAGTAATCCCGGTTTCTCCTCCAGTGGATCAATAAAATATTTCTGTGTTGAACAGACAATTCCAGCAATAATAGAAATAAATAAGACGTGGCTCATATCCTACACACGTCAATTGTTTGTGATGGCGGAACTTTTTCTGCGCAGAAAAAGCCAATAAGCTACCGGATCACAATTACATTCTGTGATGAATTTACGGTTTACCCAAACAGATCGGGACAGCATTATAGCAACAAGGTTCAGTGTTGTGTTTTTGCTGTTGATGATATCTATCTAGGTTACGCTTTCAATGCGCAGTTACCTACCCCACCTCCCCGAACCGTCGGTGAACGAAACTGTGGCAGCTACAGCCACTGTAGGACAAGTACGCGGTTATTACAGCTGACAATGATGATGATGATGACTCCCTACACACACCAGACACACGTCCAGTACATGTACCACACACCTTTCCTAACAGCTCATGCGGTCGCCAGTTAAACTATCACTCTGATGGATCGGAATGTGGGTTTTCGAGAACCTGAACCACTGTCCAATCATATAATACCCGCTGTCAACCTGGAGCAAACCGAGGACAGGGTAACAAGATGAAATACTTAGCACAGTTCTATAAGTAGTAGTAGTTCAGTGTGTTGTTTCACGCGGGGTAAATGCAGCAACTGGTACAGAATAACAGCTAGGGTATGAAACGCAAGTTAACAACCCATTCGAATACAATGCCGCTGAACTAAAGACCTAATGTGGATGCGATTTTGATTCAACAAACGCAAGGTTGATCACGCGACTAAGCTTCCACAACACGACCTAGGGTCAGTACCACGCAAATCCTACATCAATAGTAAGATTATGATCAACCATCAACTAATTAGAAAGTCTACACTCGGTGGAGCGGTTCGTAACTAAGTGGGCTCCCAACCCGTCCACTTCTAAACCCTGTAGGTTTGTTGGTAATGAGCAGGCATGGAACCAGTAGATGCACTTAAATCGACGAAACGATCAGAGAAGAGGACCTTCTCGATTACCCAGAGGATGTATATGCACAAGCAGTCGCAGTATGGGGAATCAAAATAGTCACTTAATCTCGGTAGAACATAGATTCACTATGCATAAGTTAGGGATATCCGAGCAAATAATGGAGGTGCTCAAAGAACACAACTAGAGACGACTTGGCAAATGAGGGGCTCGGAGATTCTGAAGACGGACGAATTCAGCAGAGCAACGTCCCGGACTCCCTTTCAGTTGTTCCACTCATCGGGTGTTAACTCTTATTGGAAAAGAGCCCAGTGTTTTCATTAGGTCAAGAGTTCAGTCTGTGACACCGTACAACAAGCTTCACACAAACGCTAAATATCAGAAACAACGCCATCATTTAAAACGCGGAGAAATGCAATCTTCGGTCCGGAACACAATTTAACGCGGCGAACTATCAGGCATCAGAAAATAACAGTGTGTGGCGATCGCGAATCCAGGCGGACGAGGATGGCTGAGGCCTAGAGCGCCGGCAATAGCAAAGACTACTCCATAAGCGTAATACACTACTCATAAGGTTGCTGAAAACTCTTCGACAGCCCACGAGAGAGTCGCAAAACCAAATGTGTTTGCAAATGAGTATATTTCGCCAAAGATTACTCCACTTAGTCTGTCAGGGATCCACGAGCATCATGGAGAATAAAATAGCCACGATCAATCATCCTTATTATCACCGCTTCGTCGGGACTTAGAACGACAGTTCCTGTGGCTACTTGTTGCTATTCAGTTAGATATCAGTAGAGCATCCCACTCCCATTCGTCCACAATTATGTGAATACAAACAGCGAATGCTGGGCGTTGATCTGATCTTGACAGTTAGCTTGCAGACGTTTCGTCACCAATCGAAAAGAAGCGCATTAAGGTGGGTGGATAATATACCCTGGATTGGCGACAAAACGTCTGCAGGACGATTGCCAAGATCAGATAAACAGTCATCTGACAAATGACCACTATACAAATCCGAGCTACCAATATTCCGGTACCTTAATAAACAGCGTAAGATCTTCATTTACTTCGGGAACTACCCTGCCAAACTTGCGTATTGGGAAGAACGAACCGATCGACAGAATCAAACGCACACTTAAAGTCTCGGAAAACCAAGATTGCAGGACACTTATACGTTGCGCTAACAACCGACGGAGTAAAAAGAAAGATAATCGCTCAGCCGTAACACTCCTTCGGTGCCTAGATACTACGCTGCCCGGAGGAAGAACGAGGGCTGGGATACTCCCAGGTTAACCAAACTTAGACAAGAGAAGTTAAGAGGAAGAGGCCGGGTTCGAATCACGGACCTTCCGGTCAGTAAATTCGTGCTCTTACCACTTGAGCCATCTCGCTCCATAATCACAGTGATGTAGGACACCGAGTCAGTAGCATGATTCTGCACCTCCTTTATTTGACTAGGATAATTTGTGTAGACAAGTCCACAGGAAACGAACCTTGTCACAATCATGCAGAATGGTGATCACGTCGGTTATCATGAACAGCGAGTAGCAGCGAGCTGACCTGCGGATGCGGAAAAACTAAACAGCCAATGGAGAATCTAGAATTCCAATTTCAACGTATTTAGAACTTGACGAAATTGTTTTACTCCCGAAAAAAAGTCGACAGCGAAAAACCACAATGCTGATTTTTCATCCAGTGACGCAAAACCAACTTACGCAGAAAACCTGAGTCACCGTATAACTCAAAATCTGGAAATATCCTCACTATTGATGATAAATTCATCATAATTCATGCCAGGAAAAAAGGCCGTATGGGAATTCTCTGGGACCGTCACTCAATGAGCCAGGCAACACCAGATTACGTGACATCAGCAGCCCGGTTGGGGAACATCGTGTTGTACGCACAGTTGCTAATCAGAGTATTTGTCATTGAACAGTACAACGATACCACTCCAGTCCAGGGAACTGCGGGTTCGAATCCAACTAGAGTCACAAGAGATGAGCAACGCTAATAACTGGCGATAGGAATGCAATAATTATACACTGTTTATCAGTTATTTTAGCCTCACAAGGCAAAAGCTGGAACACACATTCGCAAAGACTCACCCAACCACACTTCTCCAAACTGTCCGGCTCCCAGCTGTTTAATGAGCACAATAGACGACTTGGGGATTTCCCAGTGATCTTTCGTACGAACGGACAAGTCTGTGGTGATCGGAACTGGACGTGGGCAGGGTTGAGTGAGGCGATAGCACAGCCCATTCGCTTCAGAACTTTCTGCCAAACTGGACACGGATGAAGGATACGGAAAACGATGAAAGGATGCTGATTTCCAGAGTCATACTAAGAAGACTAACGCTCCTCGATCTGGAATGCTACAATCCATATTGAGAAGCTCGGATTGAACACAAGCGGCTTCTTTACTTCCAAGCTAAATTCGAGTGAACACCGTCCATGGAAATTAGAAGCGAACTTATAAAAAATCATCCAAAAAGTGAATTGCCCAATGTCTGACGTGGCATTTAGTTCAAATGAGTCATTTTGGTGTTACGTCCAGCAGTGTTCACTTTTTGCAAGTAAAGCTTTTTTGGAGAACTTCCTCCTCTAACTTGCGAATCACAACAGAAAAGTACTTTTGGATAGGTGCATACTAAAGGTAGGTTTACGAGCTGTGAAGCTGAAAACATAAATTCAAAACCTCGCCTCCTCTTCATGCATCCAGTTCAGAACCGAATGCAAACCTAGTTTGGCTAGTAAATTGTTGGACTGACAGGCAAATGGGGACAGCTTTTTAGACAATCTCCTCAAAGCAGTCACTAAAGTTTTCCGGGTGAACAATCCAAACAGAATGCCATGGCACCGATCAACACAAGGGTGAAAAAGTGGACCAAGTCAGATGTAGAAGGAAACAGAAAGGGTTCAGGGACCGAGTAGGTTCAGGAGTATGGTAACCCGCCGGCTGGATCAGATTAACATTCATCGGATTCTGTCGCGTTTTGGCGTCACAGTGGGAGTGCAACGGTTGGCCAATCGCAACAAGCCATTTCCTCATGCTGGGGGTGCTCATAGTGAATCCAGGGTAGGAAACAGTAAACGGCACTCTGGGTTCACTGTTGGAACAAGTGAGACAACTTGGTCTCCAAAAGTCGGACTGGCAGGCTTACTACAATCGTCACTGCTTTGCCACTCGGCTTTTGAGCCAAGGACTTTGGTTTGAGACTCTTAAAATCCTCCTGTTTACAAATTCGTCTCGATGACAGCGAAACAAAAACACTCGGTTTGTCTGCAGGAGCTAACTCACTTTTCCGCCCTGCGCTATGTGCTGAGACGTCTCTAATGTGGGCTAACTCGAGTAACACTCAGGTGCCGGTGGATTGGAAAAATGTGTTCATTCTGCTTGCAAATGACAATCAATTCCATAGTGGGTCACAACAAGCTCCCTAAAGCGGAACAACCCACTTCATGTAGCTCGCTTATCGAGACAAGTTAGAAGTCCGGGTAAGTTCGTGATCAAGTTGCGCAACTTTGTACTAAAGAGTACATCCTCTAGCAGAGCTAAGCGAAAACTCCCTAACCGCAGGAGTGAAAAGTATCTACCGCATTTAGATGAGAAAAACATTTATTTTTGGCTGACTGATAGCTTAGAAAAGGTACCGATGAACGCCTACGTGCACCCATTGTGACTGGCAGCACCGAAAAGCAATAAGAATTGACAACTAATCACGTGCTTCCGGTGTCTGGAGAGCATCAACGAGACCAAATCAGGTATTCAACTATTCCGTATGCTTCATAAACTGCTCAGGTGAGTAGATTTATGGTGAGAAAGCAAGCACATAAACCGTTTTAGCAACTGAGTGGCCATAAAGCAGCTGTTGCACTAAGATGAACTGTCAGTGACCAGTTTAGAACCAGCAGAGAATGTTAACGAAAGCGTTCCCAGCGGCGACTTATCCAAACTGACTACTAAACTTGGTACAACAATCTGAACAACAGATAATGTATTTTTAACTCCTTTGTAACGGAAATACTTTTTCCTGTGTGGAGAACTCGCTCCTCCGGAACGACCACCTAAGTTAGCCTCTCCAGACGTAGTGTTAGTGATATCAACGAAGAGTAACAAATTAAGAAATCGTACAAAGATGGCGTAGTTGGGCTGAACGACAAAGACAATAGCAATTACCAGGAACTCGATAAAAAGACAGAGTGATAATTTGCCTAGTCCTGCTCTATATTGTAACTGTGTGCGCAAAGACCTCACAGTACACGTAGGTAAGAGTGGACTGTCTACAAAAGCAAATCAACGAGAGGACTTTAGTACCATCAGCAGCGACAAAGATATCGTTCGCCTAAAAGAAGAGTTAACTAATTGAAGTCGGTCACAACACAAGGGTGTTTCCACTTCAGTTCAGCTCATTAGCTGAATCCTTGTGTAATGTGTGGGCGAGATGGCCCAAGTAACTGGAGCGCGAATTCACTGACCGGAAGGTCCGGTCCGGGACCTCCGCCTCTCGACTTCCCCTGTCTAGGCTTGGGCAACCTGGCAGTATCCCAGCCGTCATGCTTCCTTCAAGTAGCATAGCAGCTAGGCACCGGAAGGGTTCTACAGCTGAAAGCTTTTTTCTTTCTTTTCTGTGTTATGTATGCAACTGCCACGGGAAAGTAAGTGTACTCTGCGGCTCGCGGGACATTTCCTCATGGGAAAGGAATGAATCAGTGCCGAAAAATTTGTTCCGTTGGTGGAGGTTCCGTCGTGGAAAAGGACGTGTTATGACATACGTGTCTAATGTAAACCAGAATTTCGGAGAAACCAGCTACAGTAATGTGTAGTTCACATCATCCCTTACAATCGACACCTTTTTAAGATGATTACAAGTAAACAGTAAGCGAAAACCGTAATGATCATACAAACCCTCAAAAATCATAATCAGTAACTTGGGGAAGGTAGATCACAAGGAAGGGCATGGAAGGGAAAAACTAGGAAAGTGAAGAATATGGAGGGTGGCCTTTTAGTAAAGACCACATGCTACCAACCGCGATTCACCAGAGACCCAAGGTCAGACGTATTTTCTCTACTGCGGAGGCATGCTGAACTTATCAAACTTGCTGGATATTTGTAGTCACAGAACACAGCAGGAACTGGCTACAGATTATTCGGACGCTCGAACGCAATCACCTCTGATAGAAGATGAAAATTTACCCCGAAAGGACACCCAAATTCGGAAGACCTAGTTTTGATGTCTTGAAAAAATGGGTCCAAACTCTGGTAGTTTAAAGAAAGTACACGTGTAGGAAAATTGGGAATCTTTAAATTATCGTTTGAAAGTTAAGCTAATTCGTATACCGAGTAACACGTTGGCCGTTAAACAAAGTGTCCAACAAATGTGAACAAAATCTAGTGTCCTTATTTCGTAGTTGGAACAGATCTACCTCAAGTGCGGTTGCGCCACACCGATGGAGTAACGGAAAAAAGGAGCATGACTTCCGGGTACCTTTGAGTCAGTCCCGACCAGTGCGATATTGGTTGATATCGGTGTCACAGGTCATCGGAGACCGACTACGAGAATCTGGACTATGGTTTTCAATCCTAAAACCTATTTTGGCCTGCGAGCCATTCTGTTTTCACGACTCAATATGACTCAGTGACAAGTCGATCCGTGTTCGCCATTTACCTGTGTACTTGTATGTGTAACCAAAGAGGCAAGTGATCCCCATCTGTCATCAAATAGATTTGTGGCGTACTGACTAGAGGGTCAGTAATGGGCAACAAAGATAGGTTGTTCGCTCCCATCGCGATTGTTCACAGACATGGCTTGACAAAGACATTTCGGCAAGTAAAGGAAAACATACCGGTTCTGGAAGCCGTTTCTCTGCCACCAACCGAGTGCCAGTCGCTTTGGCGTGCTGCGTAAGGTCGTAGCAACTACGGTCTGCACATCCGACGCATTCGATCCACCCATAACTTGTCTGACACTCTGCATCCCAACAATCACACGCGTAGTGAGCCATTTCGTTGGACAAATGTTGTCGGAACCGTAGTCGATTCGGGTCCACACCAATCAGCACAAGGAACATATGGATTCGAGCCATAAAGTAACCCAAAGTCTGATTGGCAACGATGCCCTGAGTGGGTAGCGGTGGGTAGGGAAAATAGAGATAATGACAATATCGGGAAACATAGCTGTGAGAATGCAGAACACAACGTACAGGGCTGCTAATTTACTCATTCCACCGTAACAGTCAAGGGGTTTAGGAAAGCATATGGCGAGTGTGGTTAGCCCAGCGAGTTTTACGGCGAATGAGACCTAACGTTCAGTTTGGTGAAAAAAGACTTGTGGTTTGGTATGAAGGCTACCTGCACTCTAGGCGGAAGGCTTGGTGACAGATTCGGGCAATTTCTTCAAGCGACTGAGACAGGCACACGAAGATGAGCAAACCTTTCCAACGAATATGGTCACTTTTAGTGGGATATATCTAAGTATGATCCAATACATGTGATGGGGTGAAGACAAATCGGAGAACTACCAACGAGAATAAATCTAAAGCTCGCCGTCACGTGTACCAGTGCAAAACCGACTGTTATTGGCACTAGTGATTGCAACAGAAGTCCATCGATCTATAAATACTTGCCACACTCGTGTCAGTTAAATGACGCACTCCGGATTTTCATAATAGTTTCATGTGGCGTCGATTGATTTTGAATGAAGCCACAGACAAGCGCGTAATTGATGCACTGTATACCAGAAAAGTAGACTCAAAATGCTCGGATGTCTCGCAAACCGTTTGCTACTGATGATGAGGACTGGAATGAATTTCCAACCACGTGGTAACCGACGATATGACCAACTTGCCAAATCGCCCGGATTATGAGTAGTAGCAAACACTGTGACATGAATGAGGGAAATCGATAAATAACCCCTAGTGTAAATTACAATGGTCAGAAAAATGAGGAAAAGAGTGTGTTTTTCGGCCATAATGCTCCACGAAGCCGCACGGGCATTTGAAAGTAGTATTAGAGGCAATTTGACGGCATCAATACGGAAAGAGTTGGTGAAATGGACCAAAGAGGTATTAATAGTAATGAATAATGCTTCCTCTGTGAGACTGTTTCTGTGATTAGCTGTTATGCAACTCGAAGGAAGCTGAGATATTGGAGCGATCGAATAACCAGAGACTGGTTCAAACCATGGGCACTCCGGCCAATAGTCCTTCGCTTTAACCGCTGAGTTAGCCACGCAAATAGCCTGGTGACGTTAGAATGTCACCAAAAAACAAAGAGGCAAAGGACTTTCATTCGTAGTTGCCTGAAAACACAAGCGTAGATCGTCGTTGGGGACAAAGAATGAAAAAGACAATGGATTCTCGACGCCAATAAAATTTGGCTCTCCTGCTCTGAAAAAGCGTTAAGCTCTCCTAGACTAGAAGGCACATCTAACTATGGTCATTCTAAGGTGCGGTCTGAGGAATATCAGATGCGACGGAATCGTTTTCCGGATGGACATACAAAAAAGGAATGCGGTCTTGTTCTACACTGAGATGAAAGATTAGCTGCACTAATCAGTCCGAGGTAGCTAAGCCCATTAAGAAAGGTTAGTGGAGTAGATTAATTGGTCAACTGCGCCCTTCCGTCAGATTCTGCTTATGAGCAGCAGGATAACGTACGATGTGAACTGCAGCGCCCTGACAAGAAAATTGCTCCAATTAAGAACATAACACCCCACCTGAATCACACGAGTCTTGTGCACCAGTTCTCGAGCAGAAGTATTTCCATCTAGTGCCAATTACGGGATAAGCGGACCAGCTTGCTAGAACTAACCGAGCACCAGGCTTGCAGATAGAGTGGCCAAAATAGAATTCACTCAGTCGAAACTCCACAGTTAGAAACGCGTAAACTCGATCTAATCAGGAAGACTTCCTTCAGAAAGAGGTTAATTCAAACGGTAGTTTTACTCGGGAGCTACGAGAACATCGTTCTCATGTTCCATCGACCGCCTAGTCTGCACCGTACATACTTAAACACTGCTATTGATCCAGTCGACCGTACCGCTCTGTGGAACATCAGTTCACTTGGTGAATCCCAAACCAACGTTGCGTTAACAGCGCTCGAGTCCAAGTTAAAGCGAAATGTTGCAACTTTGACCCTAAAGCCAAAGTGCGAATGTGTGGACGCTATGCCCGGTCCTAGTAAGCTAAGCCATAGACTCGATAATGCATAGTGCTCTAGGCGGATACGGAGAGGCCTGCGAATCAACAAAAATAATCGGATATTCGACCAATGATGATAAGACGGCGACGCCGTCTTGCTGGGTGACAATTCAGACAGTACTGATCAAGAACTGACCGAAACCGGTGCAGCTGAGAATCTCCTCCACATGATCGACAAGGACCGAACCAGGCTAAATATTGGAATTACGCCCGCTTCAGACATCCCAATCTCCAAACGAAGAATGACGTGAATTTTCACATTACTGCTATTTCTACGGTTGAATAAAACTTTACAACATAGGTCGGAACCAAATTTGAGAGCCAAACTTCGGGCATATCAAGCCTTTAACGGCCTTGTAGTACATTCTGGATGTGAGATCTGGCCAGTGCGGTGCAAGAATACACAAAACTAGAGGTATCCAATCTGGGAACCAGACTGACATAAGCAGTCTGGCAACAATGTCATGGCATGTCAAAAGTGGCTGAAAACATCAAGTAGTGAATCCGCGTTAGTGTCCTAGGTGCTGGTGTCGCCGAAAGCGGGAACTAAAAAACCGAACTGTCATACCAGATGGCGACCCATCTAGGTGTCTAGTTCAGTTTTAGTATTCGACGACGGAAACAGAACTGGGTAGCCATCAGTGCGAAATGACTCAGTGGTTAGAGCGCGAATTCACTGACCGGAAGGTCCGTGATTGTGCATCATGTCTTGGTCAACCCGGCAGTGCCTTCGTGCTTTATTTGGGTGGTATGGCAGCTAGGCACTGAAAGGATGCTACAGCTGTGCATCTTCTCTTACTATTGTAGGGCTTATGTAGCTGTAGTGGGTGGGCCGGACTAACCTTCAGTGGGAAACAACCGCGAGAAAGCAAACAAACGAGATCATCGGCGAAGTCAAGAATAGTGGCTGAGAAGAGCATATATTGACGAACGAAACAGAGAAAACCGCTTCCAACAGTGCAATCAGGCTTCATTGCTGCTGATCAGGAATATCACACAAGCGGTGCGCAAGTGTGACGATGAATAGTATCAGTCACGTTGGGAAATATCCAACTTGCAGTTTTAAAGGCTGCGTATCGGTGGCATGTGAGCAGAGTTCACGTCGAAGAGCGGGTAAACTAAGTGGAAAACATTTCGGGTAGTCAGGTCTCAGGAAGAAAACCTCGGTAGAATAAAGTAACACTCGACAAGGGTTTAACTTCAAATATGATTTCTTGTTAAAACCCTTAGATCGAGTGACGCCAAACAGCTTGGTTGGAGCTAGGGCGACGCGTTTCTTATTCTGACATCCCGAAAAATTTACGATTGTTGATGATAAATTCCTAGATTTTTCCTACGCTGGCTCCCAAGAAAGTGAGGTTAAGTATCTGTCGAACTGTTCCCGCACATTTAAAACGATTGGGGTCAGCTAAACTGCGTGATATGGAACGGCTGGCTATCACACGGTGTCAGCAGCCTTTAACATTGTCAACCGGTTCTAAAAAAACAAGCGCCTCCAAATGAGGAAAGGAAATCAGTGGAATGGACAAGTAATCTTCGGTTTCCCAATCACGTGACTAAAAAACTAAGCCACACGTGAAACAAACACGTGAATAGGTGCAGTGATCATGTGCTTTCGAAATTCATGAAACACACTACATGGGATTTGTTGCTACAGTGCCCGACAAAATTTAGTAGAAGACTTTAGACGATTTGGACATCACAAATAATCCAGACCAAGTATGAGAGCAACGAGGAGTTCCAAGACAAGCAAAATTAATTAGAATGGTCTACGAGTAAAAGGTTCCCGTACGCTGAGGCAGAATGGATAGCACTTTTACGAAGAGATATTACGGTAGATGACCAGTGTCACAATAAGGAAGGTGAAAAAAAAATCTCGCGTCATGGCTCGATTCACATATGAGAAGCATCGTTGGAAAAACCACGAAATGGAGAAAGTAGGCGACGTCGCAAGAGCCAACCATAAAATCTCAAACTGCCAACAACTTAGCCAGCAAAGTAAAAGGCAGTGATCGATGCAGGAGTGTAAACTCCATAGACTTTCACGCGCCCATAGATGTTCATTATAAGGACTAGAAAAGTGCAATGAAAATATTCAGACCACGTTTGGAAAACACCATAACCACGTAGCGCGATCGGCTGAGTCGAATGCTGCTTTCGGACTTTGGAAGACAAATAATTGCTGACCCTGTGTGTGTGTGTGGCACTGTCTCACAAGTTGTCGTGTCCGATGTATCCACGACCTGGACGGATGGATTGCTTGATTCTTACGACTTCACATGTCAAGGTCGCCAGGCCTGCGTAGAATGATACCCATGATCGAATTAGAAGCGGCTGTGACCAAAATTGTATCCTCTAAACCGAAAATCTCTCACAGTTAGATCTAATATCTTCACGAAAGATAGAAGAAACAGTAGATATCCGTAGATATTCGTCTCTCAATCTGCGGACGAGTCATTTTTGTCTATCCTCAAGCAAGACCTGAGAGGACACTCAAGACCGGGTGCTCTGCTTCCCTCCAATTGTTTAATTACTATTTCGACTTCATCAACTCATGACATTGAGCAGTACACATTCCACTACACAGCTGTAGGAATGTCCACTCTTATTCTAGGCACCACAGGCCAGCTAGATTTCTCCTGGAAGACACCTGCCCACGGAGGCTTACGAGAAGGCCTAAAATGCACCTTTCAGCCGTTCTACTCCGTAATGACTTAACTGACCGGTGGTTTTCCTGGCCTGGTGTTACGTATTCGCCGAGAGTTCGAGTAGTTCCGGCCTTGGCAGAGGAATATGACACACAAGATAGGGCTGCCAACCGATGTCGGTGGCGTTCTTGCTGTCAGTTTCTATCCAGATTGCCTGAGTGAATGTCTGGAGGTGTAGGCACCTCGGAATGATTGGGTTAAGCTAGCACTAAGTCCCCCCCGTCCACCTTTATTCTTTTCTTTGCAATAAGGCTTTCAAATAAGTCATGGTTGTATGGCAGTGAAGCACCAGTGCTGTCGATGATGATGATTAGTCCCGGCCTGCGCCGGGTTTCCCGCTTCTTGGGCTTTTTCTATCCACTTATTCTCTCGACTAATCTAGAGACTGTGAGCCAGGCGTGGTTCATCTTAGGGAGTCGTGGACAACTGATCTCCGTGAGGTCCAACGCGATTTGGGCCGTGGAGCTGTTTTGGGATACAGTCATACGGTGATTTTAAAATGTTTAAGATTTCGACCGACCAGCTTGTTTCACGTCCGTCAGTCACCTAGCAACATACAGCTAGTTGTTGTGTGGTCAATACAAGTGTTCAACTGGTGGTATTTATGGTGCGTCAAGTTGATTGGTAGCGCAAGCTTGATTTTTACTTTACTGGGTACAGGACCAGAAACGGATGCGGAATCTATAAAACCACAAACAGGTAGTACTGACAGCAGTGGTAGAGTTGAAGCTACGCACTGGTCGTAAGCCGCATGGACAGGTGTTAATCTGCGATTAACCAGGACAAGAAAAGGTGTATCATCAAGGCAGCTCATGTTGAATCGTTGATGCACAAGTCTCGTCCCAAACGTAGTGCGGAAACCATCTGTTCGCCGCTAAATTCATGCCAGCTGATGTTGGGCGCCCATCTATCAGACTCGCTTAACTACCAGATGAAGGAGACTTGTCCATGATCGTCCTCACACTTCCCCTTTACTACATTCCGTACTGGAGTATTCCTTCTTCATGGTTATATGGCAGTTAAACACCAATATGTACCACTGATAGGTTGCTGTCGACAACAACGATGATGGAGCGAAAACCCCTTTACTTCGGGTTACAGTTCAGCCGAGGAATGCAACGTATAGTTTCTGATATCGAACCGCCTCTTACTCAGAATCCCCCGTTTCTCATAATTCCACTTCCCGAGGGAAGTTTAACTTATCCTACTATCGACAGTGCCGCTTAGGTTAGCGGCACCGTTTGTATTGGGATATCGCAATAAACAAAACGCTCCCAGATAGACATTCATGAGATATCGTGTCAACATGAGCTAATCTAACAAACAGTGACTGGAATGAAGGCGACCGTAGTTCACATTTCCCATGCTGTGATTGACCATGTCGATTAGCCACTGAAGACGAAGTAGCACCAGCGTTGTAGTGTAGGAATCTTGTGAGTGAGGCTGCACGTACAGTACCATAATCCATTGCCATTTTTTGGAGGTCCAACGATAAAGACTATCAAGATCAGCTTTGATCACGCGTTAGTTAATTGCTGTATACAGTAAATCTGTAGTATGAACAGATCGACCAGGGTACGATGATAAATCTTCGGTACAAAGCACTTAACGTCAGTGAGATGCCGTTTCGTTTGCGAACCAGCAATATTAATGAAGGATAACATAGTGAACAGGTATTTCGATATCGGAGACAAACAAAAGATTCAACTCAGACCGCCGACTGTACCTGAGCAACAGCTTCCCCTATGGTCATTTGCTTTGCTGGCAGCCCATCCATCTGAGAACAGGCGGAGTAGATCGTCATCACCACATCCCTGATGCGATCAAACTTGGGATGTTGTTTATCGGTTGGATCGACGAAGTATTCGATTTCGGCCATGGCGAATTCACGCACCCGAATAAGACCCGAACGGGGACTAATTTCATTACGGAATGCAGAACCAATTTGGGCGGCTCCAAACGGGATGCGACCTTGGTTGAACTGAAGCAAACGTTGGAAATTGACGAATATTCCTTGTGCGGTCTCCGGGCGTAGGTAGCTGTAGGAGGGCAGGGGAACAAAATGCAGTTGACTGAAGGGGCAAAACAACATTTTTAAAAAAAAACAAAATAAACCGTTCAGCTGCAGCACCCTTTCGGTGCCTAGCTGCCATGCCACCCGAAGGAAGCACGAGGGCTGGGATACTGCTAGGTCGCCCAAGCCTAGACAGGGGAAGTCGAGAGGCAGAGGTCGTGTTCGAAACACGGACCTTCCGGTCAGTAAATTCGCGCTCTAACCACTTGGGCCATCTCGCCCCAAAAACAACATTAAACATGCTTAGCATTTACACTGTGTTAACCTGGTGATAATGTGTTGCTCGAATGCATTGGCCCGATACGTCAACTCAAACCGGATCTCCTCTGAGAGAAATCTTAGGGTTACAAAATGAGTAAAGGGCGGACGAAGCCCATCTACAGACGTTTTCAACAGGTTCCCATGTTGAGGTGGCTTTGGGTTGTGGTTAATCGAAACTACGGGTCACTAACATGTTAGATAGGCAAGAGTCGCTATTTGTCGAGCGGCACTTCATTTACAGACCATTAAAGTAACCACAAGCTGGCTTCACTTGCGAATCATTTCGAGCTCGTCTTATAAAAACAAATGGCGTTTCAGCAACCCTCAAGGTAGATTGCATCAGTCATTAGGTTCTCCTCCGTAACGAAAGTTCTGCCAAGAAATCAGGATGCAATTTAAAACAACTCACCACCATCGATGTCTTCGGAGCATTGCCCGAATCTGGTGGGAACACCGGATCAGCAATTCTGAAGTACGTCGAATGGTATTCCGGAGAAATAACTCACCCTCGATAGATGAACTGATCACACTGCATAGGTTGCGCTGGCTTGGCCACATGCTGCGTATGCCAGTCGACCGACTTCCTCGATGGGCTCTTTTCGCAAAACCACGTGAAGGGTGGAAGAGAGCCAGAGGCGGTCAAATAATGACTTGGCAGCGAAGTGTGAAAGCCATTACCAGCAAACTCAGCTGCGCTGAACATTGCCGTCCTCCTGGATGGGGACCCGAGAAGGGTCACATTAATGGTTAAAGACACTGTGCCCGGTTGGGCCCTTCATGGCGCCCGTGCGTCCAAGCTATTGCCTTCAATGCATAGCTCCTTTTCCAACCCCCCCCCCACTTGACAGCCCACTGACAGTGCTGAATTTATACACCAATTAATCATCTCCCGCCTGAAATGCGCAGCTACATACCCCACCTCCCTGAATTATCGGTGAACGAAACTGTGGCAGCTACAACCACTGTACGATGAGTACGCGGTTATTACAACTGTCAATGATGACGATGATGACAAATGGAGAGTGTCAGTATGGAAGGTGTACGACAGCAAGGTTACACATGTTGCTACACAGATGGAAAATGAATAAATCTGACATTCGAACCATACGATAAAACCGAAAATCCAATCAGCATCTGGTTCACCCGCACGGAATGATGGACGAAGCCAATACGTGGCTTTTGGTGACAGAAGTCGCTAAAATTTCGCATCGCTCAGAATTCATTGGGTCTCCAGGACCCGAGAGTTTAAACATACTGTGAACCGCACAGAAGCCTCATACCCTCACCAACCATGGTCGCCCTTCCAAAATGAACGGACAGTTTGACGATGTCTAAAGAAAAAACTACGAAAGATGTGCACTGATTGAACAGCTGACACTCGAAGTCGGATAATCATAACAAATATGGAAGGCGTTGAACTCTTCCGACAGTTCAGTAGAAAGCCCTGAGAATGAGACGAAATTTCGAGCATCTGATGATAGCAACTAGATAACATCACCGATAAGGACCAAGTTTGCATTTTCAAGTCAGTCTTCATTAGTGCTTCGGTGACGAGATTCCTCGCTGAAGACAGATGTAATCAGCAAACGAATGACAACCAACTTCCAGGGGACACCCAAGCCCTTAGACTTCCCCACACGAGGGCAATGCACAAACCCGAAGAGTGATAGAGGGTGAAATTAAGTTCGGCTAATGCACAACCACACAGTACTGGAACTAATAAGTTCATAGAGTTTGATCCAGAAACAGCAATGTCTAACACTGACATTTGGTACTCATCACGCAAACTGGAGACCCGTTTGTAGTGTCCGAACACAAAGTGTGAAAATGTATGCAGCAGCATATGGTGATATGGTCACGGGATTCTGAATTCCCAAGGTCAGTACGTGACCACCTGATGGAGGAAGGGTCTCAGTCACGGGATCAACTTTCAACTGATACGCTGGGCGTAGAGGTTCAAACATAACTAACTATTTGCAAACCAGATATTAAAAGATGATTCGAACACATTGGGGAACGTCGCAGGAAATGAAACGGCGGATTTAGGAGAAAAATTACCACCACCATTGTATCGATAGGACGGGGAAAAGATAGAACTGTTGTCTGCTTCCTGTACAATCACATTAAGGGGTACGAAAGGTTCCAATCTCAACAGTCCCAGTGCTTCAACATGTGTATTGTAGCTTTATCCCACTGAAGGCTTTCTGTAAAATGGTTACTTTGAATTTCGCTTCCCCCGGTATTCTATTGGACACCATACGGAAGGAATACAACCAAACTTCAGAACTAGATCGTGTTGACATGGAGGATGTATACAGAGGTACGTCACTAACTAACGGGTTGCATTAAGATTACGGTGGTGGACGAAAGGTCCTTCTGAAAAGACTTTCTCCTAGCCCAAATGCCCCTCCAACGGTATAATAGATGTAAGTAACGCGCCTACGATGTCCAATAGAAATGAGAATACCATGTTTGTGAAACCTGCTTCACGACAGTTTGACTATTGTGTTTCTTCTGTGTCTATCACAGTTAAAATGACGACAGGAAATCTAGCCGCAAATGCTGACGTGAACACTAGCGCAAACGCGGTAGTGTTCGTGTCGGTTGGTCAAGACACCTGGACCAGACATCAAAACCAACTCCGCTTTAACAGCACGCCGGAAATTCAAGTACGTCCGGGTACCGTACCGTTGAACATATTGCTCGATACTTTTGAGCTGAAAACTGAGACAGCTTCGAAAGAGGAGAGTGTGACCGGCAGCTCAGTATTTGATCCAACACTTCTTCCCAGGTGGTAGACAGACCGACGCCGCCGCCAGCCGGAACGTATCCAGGTCGACCCCCGTCGAGTATGTTACTGACTTTTCACAAGGGAAGGTGTTAGGGATATCAATATCCCCTAAAAAACGCTGTATTTTTATGTGTGCTAGCGAGCTTCCGGCATCTTCAAGGTCAACCTATGAATAAATCAATGGCCTATTGATATTCCAAGAAATTTAAATCCGACCACTTACTGACACGATACCATCTTTTTACTGACTTGGGTTCGGAAGCTCGGGGCATCGCCTGTTTTTGGATCATTAAAGTTTGTGTCCGAGGTTTTTCGTCTTCTTACTATCCGCCGTGCTAGGAGTCTGGATCAAGCAACATAGCTGGGGATAGAGTACTGTCACTGCTCGCTGCGTGGCCGAACCGTAACATGAACAGATTCTTCGGTTTTCGGTTGGGTAAAAGCTAGACAGCTACAGGATGCAAATGTGGACAGATAGCGACGGTGTCCGTGTTACCGATTCCTATCCAAATTGTCAGATTGAGAGAGAGGTTTGACAGTCGAACGACAACACTGGAACTGTTCCCCTCCACATTTCGTTCTTCACATCAGAACATGTATCAAATAATCCGGTAAAAATTCACTCCGAAGAAACCCTTGCATTTCGCATACAGCCTAGTATATAATGTGTAAAATTTGAAGATGACAGAGTAACACGACAGCCGACAGATTAGAAATATTTCCCAACTTTATTTAGCACGCTTCGGAAATGTAATAATACCTGTTGTCACATCACGTGACGTCGACATATCCAAAAACCACTGCCTTTTGGATAAAAGTACAAAATCTGCGCAGATGATCTCTCATTCATCGAACACGTAGTCACCAAAACGAAAGAACTGATAACAAACCAATAGCGGAAGCGGCTACATTAAAATCCGAGTTCCTGATGGTTAGCGAAGTGAAAGACAGAACAAGCGATGAAAAAGAGCAATAAACGAGTATGGAAATGCATGGATTATAGACACTCGTCTGCTGTTTATTTCTGTGTATCAATACTTACCCCTGACATTGACCCGTCGGACCAATCATGGTGGCAAACATCAAGTTGAACTGCTGAGGCTCGGACAGTTCATTGTTTGTTGCTGGAGATCGCATGTCATACTTGCGTATTAACGAATTCAATTCAGCACCGCCAAAGTTGTCCAGCTTAACAGGTGAGGAGAAAAGTGAAGGCAGGACACGTACAAAAGTTTGTCCTATGTTGACTCGCATAAAATCACACAAAACACAATTTACGAGTTCTGTAATTGGATTGTGTTCGGTTTAGTCCAATACCGCGACCGTGTACACACATTGTCATCGATAGTGGAAGAGATGGCAAAGGCTAAACTTACTTTTAAACAGATGATTTTATTTAGTAATGGTTAATAAAAGCGCGCGACCCAAAGAAATGTGTCACCAGAAAACACTATGCCCATCGAGAGCACCGGGCATCATTTGGATAGGCGCCTGCATTGGTATTGCGCGACAGCTATCCTATTAAAAATCTGTTACCACGTCGTTCAGCTGTAGTACCCTTTCGGTGCCTAACCACCATGCCACCTGAAGGTCTAGAATACTGCCAGGTTGCCCAAGCCTAGGCAGGGGTCGGGTTCGAACCACGGACCTTCCGGTCAGTAAATTTGCGCTCTAACCACTTGGGCCATCCGTTACCACATCAAGTACTGGCCGGTCGGGGGAAAAACTATCAGCCAGATGGAGTCACCAAATGGATACTCTACAAACTTCGAAGCGAACCAAACTGCTGCACTGTAGCCAGAGTGCAACATCAAGCAATCGGGCGGCAAAAATCGCTGCTACGGACTATAAATTCACCCACTTGCGGAGATAGGCTCTAAATAATCCGCTAGCACCGTCAGCGGTGCTACTCAAAGACAACTCGGGTACACGATACACTGACCACAACGGCGTTTCACATTGTTAAGAACATTACAGAGGCTACAGTGTCACCAGTGAAGATCATGAAGCAGAAGTTCACTGGCGGTTCTTTGGATGGTTACGCGAAAACGAGAAAAATCCATACAGTTAGAGTACGGGAACCCAACAGCTCGAAGCATGGCTGCGCCTGCGAATTTCTTCAGCCTAAAGAGAACACCCAGTTGAAACAAGTTAGATCATGCTTCGTTGCCCCAGATGGACATAATTCACGGAGGTAAAAGTGCACCAGTCAGGATCGCGTGGGACAAAAACAGACAGAGCTTTTAGATGGCACAAATAGAGAAGTTTTGTGTATTTACAAACCTGCAGCAGTAGTCTTTGTATCTCTTCTTTTTCTTGTTCTGATGTTTTTTTGTGTTTGAGCTTCGCTTCGAGATTGGCCTTGACCAAATGATCTGCGCGGAAACACTCGCCTGTTTGTAAATCTTTCACCATGAAGTCCGTAAATCGATCAACGTGACCAGAGGCCTGAAGAACAGGGGCCGGTGTGAGCATCGAACAGTCTACTTCCAGGAGCTGGTCCTCCAAAACAAAGTGCTGCCGCCATGCAGCCAACAGATTGGCCTTCATCGCACAGCCCATAGGACCATAATCATACAATCCCTGAACACCTAGAGGTTTATGAAAAGCAGGAAAAGTGATTCTAACAAATGCATATCACTTCCGAATAATGTTTAAGCCCGAGATAAATAACTCAGAGAGTAAGGAAAAACAATCGATGTCGCGGCGCCCAACAATTATACTCAGATCACCACGAACAGGTATCAAACTCTTAACTAGCCGGCGACTCGTAATGACAGGAAAGTAGGCTCAAACGACTTCTCCTCACATCGATTATGAACGCCACAGGGGCACGGCACACGGTGATGCCAAGTGTAGAAGACGAGTCATTGCTCTTAGCCCGGTACACAGTTGCAACATTTGTGAAGTATCCACTACCGAATCGTCAATATGTGGGAACTAATTACGCATCCCGTTTCTCATACTCTCCTTTGAGAGGTAACTTCATTCCCGGTTGATAACCACTAGTGTACGGTGCATGAAAGGCTATTAGGCTGCCATTTTATATTCCCCCGGCTCCCATTTAACTTCGGCTAATCAGATTTTTAACACACTTCAAGTGCAACAGTCTTCCACAAACACCAGGGTAAATTTCGACTTCTCTTCTACAAAACTCCAAAAAACTATTGCATGCTGAGAGGCTATTAAGCCCAATCCAAACCAACAAAAAAACAAGGATGACGGCCATGAAGCACTCAACCACAGGTTGAGACACTTGAGAATTTATAATCTCTGATTCCAACTTCCCAATACATTCTTCATTCCAAGCAATTCATGAGAGTGAGTAGTATTCCCCCCACTGTATGTCGACTTCATCACCACGCCCCGAACGTTTTGGAGCTTACTGGCACCTAATGGTACTTCTCCAGGAACTTTGAAGTCAAATAATCTAGGGTAGCAACAAAAGCCGCATTCATTGGGCAATATAAATCGTGATACTGTTATGCTCAGACGCCACTCACCCGACTTGCGATGCAAGGGAATGGAAAGAAGCTATGATGGACGTTGCGAGTTGCGAATCGACCTTGACGTTTCCATTGAGTATATCAAAAGCCGTTTATTTTCTACAGGAATGGTATCCCGTGCAGTGGATATCCTAGTGATTTCAGTTACTAGCAATTACTTCTTTTTCATACAGTACCAACCAAGCTATGTGGATCGTGTAGATCGTACCTTATCTCATCAGGTAAAATGATACTTTTTACTCAGGACTGCACAAAATGTGCACTTCTGCATATCCACTCTGGTCAGCAAAAGGAACATAGAACTCGGTCATGTTGTTAGGGCTCGAGATAGCTCAGAGGTCAAGGCGTGAACCTACTGATCGGAAGATCCGTGCTTCAAATCTAACCTCATGATCTCGACTACTTCAATCTAGGCTTGGGTAACGTGGTAGTAGCTCCGGTCCGTGCTTCCATCGGGTGGCATTGCANCCGTGCTTCAATCTAACCTCATGATCTCGACTACTTCAATCTAGGCTTGGGTAACGTGGTAGTAGCTCAGGTCCGTGCTTCCATCGGGTGGCATTGCAGTTAAGCATCGAAGAATGTTACAGCTAAACGATCATTTTATTTTATTGCTGCCTGTACGAAAGGAGTGAAGTCCTAATCTTTCCAAAATGGTCAGATTGGTAACTCCAAACACCTCTCCGGAGAGAGATGGTTACATATTAGTCTGCTTGTATTTATTCTCCTGAATTTGCTAACCGTTCACTTGGTCCATTTTGGCTCCTATCTAGGTATTCCAAATGAATGAAGCCTAACTTACAGACCTTCATTCACCTACCTCACAACGTCAAGCGTTTTGGGAAAGGGGGCATATATCAATCATAAAGGCTTTGGTTTTGCAACGTACCACCTTCACCTAGGATTTTCTGCTAATGAAAAAACCTGATTATTTACAATGATTTTCTGGTTGGGAGCCTCAATCGACTGCTGGTTGTTGGAAGGACAACTGATGAGTGATCTAGTACTTCGTCCATACAGCCAATTTGATTCCTGTTCCCGACATCAGCTTACTGTCGCGAAGTTCGTCCTGTTGGTTTTGCTGCTGGCACGTAAAAGTAAGAAACACTTGCAAGTATTTGTGATTATCTCCGCTCTAGATGCCATGAGCGAGTAATGCTCCACAGAATGTTGTATGCCTGGAACTCAGAGTCACTAGCGGGGAAGTTACTCTGAATGAATGGCTGGGGTCCTGATAGAAAACGGTGCACCAAATGAATGGTACCTAGAGGCTCAAGGCCACAACGGGTATTGAAAACAGCTCCGACAGCCACTACTCCCGAAGGATCTCCTCAAGTTCCAGGGACCAGTAACGAATTCTGAATGATGCAAAACTGACCAGCCGGAGAGAGGGGATCTCATCGTGACGATGGTTTGTGTACATCAAATACCATTGAGCTATACTGGAGAATGAAAACATAGTAAGCAAATCATCCCAAAGAAGGTTGATCAACGAGTGGTACTCCGATCTTTCATGTGTCGAGGGTTGGAACAAGTGCGGTAATTTGCTTCTTGGAAATTAGAATGCCGTGTATAATTCCCAGCTAAAGGCGTCAGGTTATTGGGTCGACCTGAGAGTGTCCGCGCATACAGTGGTGTCCCCAAGAATGTAGGTGAAAACTTCTTAAAAGATGCCGTAATTCTTCTTGACAGAGGCAGTTGCCGAATTAGGGGTGAAGACATCTGTGAAAATCGGCAAGTAAAGTTTTACAGGCACGGTTGTTGGCCGTCTTAGCTATGGGACCCTCTCAGCTATTGGGTATGAAAGAATGACATGGGGATATGAAGCGATAGGCAAGAGCGATCAGATACGAGAGTGGTTTCAAAAGATTAGCCTTTTGGTTAGCAGCTCACATGTTTACCACCGAGCCACCTCTATCTGGATTGTTGGAAACATCAAGTAGACGAGAGGAACGCTCGAACCACTAAGTTACAATCCTTCCAGTGCCTAGCTGCCACGCCAACAGAAGGAAGCACGAGGGCTGTAATACTGCCAGGCTGCCAAAGCCTAGACAGGAAGAGTTGAGATGCTGAAGTTGGGTTCGAACATTGGACCGTCTGGTTTGTAAGTTGGTAACTGAGCTATCTCGAACACTATGATACAATATGGGGACTTTGATGTACTGTCTATTGATAGTACAAACTCCTCTCCGGGAAACGCGTGAGGTTAACAAAGTAGTCGTGGGGGCTTCTAATGTCTGAGAATACGAATAGTAAAAAAACATATAATGCATTCCCGAATTCGATGGAAAGAGGCCCATTGCATTGCAACTCCAACATTCTGCATACCAAATACGGATGAGTGGAATAACACGAGCTGAAATCCCTTAGTTGGCACAGGATCGTAGAATAAGGCAAAGAGACGGTCCCAGTGGGGCCAGACATTGGACGATGAGGAGTAAATTATCTTGATGAGTTAGATTCAGGATTCTTAACGTGACTGTCACTGCAAGGTAGGAGTTGGAGACTCGCTACCCACACGCTATGTTTACCGCAGTGAATTCCCCCAAAGGACTTTTTGGGCTAACACTGTACATCTGCATTGAAAACCGCATGGGATAAAATATCTAGAAGATATTCTCCGCATGTAAGTGGCATTAAACCATTCTTTACGAGTGAATTGCAGGAAGGATTGCTAAAGTAAAGTGTACGTCTGACTGGAAAATATGGCTGTATCTGGGCTTCCCACGAATGGTGTCACAAGGTTGCGTTCATCTATGGATGCTGCCAGGAAACATTCACCCATTTTCTTAAACTAGCACATGGATTCGCGATACTTAATAGGCACTATAACAGGAATAATTATGCCTTCAAGGCAATTTCCACCGGGTACAATATCCTTTGGAATCATCATGAGTCTATCTTGTTCTGGACAGTAAACAAGGTTCTGAAGCACTTGGCGGCGTTCACCAGGCCGCTAATTACACTCCGTTGGCTTAATCAACGTGGTCTGAAATTGGAATTTAAAAACTGCATATGTACTGCGATAAGTACCAGAAATGTGAAGTGACGCAGTGACCTGGACCCGTTTAGTCTTAATGCCCCAACTCACTAGAATGTACGAAAATTCACCCTCACGACAGTAATTACAAGGGTTCAGTAGTCGATCCATCATTATTTCACAGAAAGCGAGTTTGATCATGTTAGTCTCTTCATGACAATCCGGAATATGTTCCAAGATCGCAACCTCAGTACTTCTATGACAACCGATTGATTAGGCTGATTTGTTACGTTTCAACTCGGAAGTGTATCCGTCTATCAGAATGCGTGGCAACAGCAAGCGGGAATCGAACATTCAAAAGGTCTGATAACGTGTACCAGGTAGACACAGTGGTATAAACAAATCAAATACGAGTTGGTGTGAGCAGTGGTTCCAGTGATGCCTAGGCAAAACGGATGATTAAAACTTTTGACCACGGTTCACCAAGCTAGGGGAACATTGTACTGGCCGTCAGAGTAAGATCAAACCCAAAGAATGATGATGCTGTGAACAGACTTGGGGATCGGTAATGGAGACTTCGTCCTGCAAAGCCGACAGGAAATGCGTGCGGTCGTGGTAATCCCATTCACGAAAAGAACAGAAAGAATGCCTGTCTACTAAATTCACATCACGCAGAGACGGAATCGACTGAGGTTATTCAGCCCAGAAAGCCAGCTACTTCAAGGTGATTACTGATGTAAATTGTCTGATGTATGACTCACTTGAGTACGCTTACAGACAATTACTTCAGTCGTCGTCGTGAAACTTGCTTGCCACATGTGGGTGGCCGGAGGGGGTTACGCTCTCAGTGGAAGAAATGAATTGGGCCTGACTCGGGTTGATTGGAATCGGACTCCCTCGGAACTCAACGATTTAACCCCACAGAGTGAAATGCATCTGGGTCGGATAAAGACCGCGACTGGAACACATCTTAATATCACCTGAGGATACCACATTCCCGCCGAAGTTGTTGGACGATCCGAAAAGGGCGGATCCCAATATAAAACCTTCTGACTCGGTGGAGATGAGAGCAACAAACTTTAACACTGCCCCGTTGAACAATGAA